GGACCGCGCATGGAGTGGATTCCATATGCGTCATCGTGGATCGGTTGACCAAGAGTGACCATTTCATATCGATCCAGGAGAGCATTTTGGCTGAGAAGCTGGCCGACATCTATATTCGAGAGGTTGTAGCCCGACATAGAGTGCCAGTCTCCGTGATTTCTGACAAAGACATGCGGTTTACTTCCAGATTCTAGAAGAAATTTCATGACGAATTGGGTACTTGTTTTCACTTTAGCACTGCTTTTCACCCACAGACGGATGGTTAGAGCGAGAGGGCCATCCAGACATTGGAAGATATGTTGCGGGCATGCGTATTAGACTTCAGTGGTAGCCAGGATACCTACCTTCCCTTGGTAGAGTTTTCCTACAATAATAGCTACCACGCGAGTATTGACTGACCTCCCTTCGAGATATTGTACGGGGGGAAGTGCAGGACCCCGATATGTTGCGGTGAGGTGGGGCAAAGGGTCATGGGGAGTACCAAAGTGGTACTCAAGACGACGGAGAGGATCTAATAGGTCTCGAGTAGGCTTCAGACTGCTCAGATTCGGAAGAAAAGTTAAGCTAACAAGCGTCGTTCGGACTTGGAGTTCCAGGTTAGGGATATGGTCCTCCTAAAGGTGTCACCTTGGAAAGGTGTCATCCGGTTCAGGAAGCGAGGCAAGTTGGGCCCCAGATACATTGGGCCTTTCAGGGTTGCAGCCCGGGTGGGCAAGGTGGCGTATAAGCTGGATCTGTCAACCGAACTTAACCAGATTCGCAGTACCTTTCACGTCTCCCAGCTACGGAAGTGTCTGTCAATGACTCCGCGGTGGTGCCTTTGGAGGACATTCAGGTGGATGACAACCGGAACTACATTGAGCGACCAATATCTATCCTCGATAGGAAGTCAAAGGACCTAAGGAACAAGTGGTTGGAGCTGGTAAAGGTTTAATAGCAACACCACAAGGGCTTCTAATGGACTTGGGAGCCGAAGGACGAGATGAGAGAGCACTACCCCGAGCTTTTTCCGGATGCAGCAGCAGACTTCGACGACGAAGTCTAAAATAAGTGGGGGAGAGTTGTAACACCAGGTTCCCGATACATATTTAAATTTAATTAATTGTATGTTTGTGCACTGGGACTCAGCGAGTTGGAGGCCCAACTCGTCGAGTAGACTAGACTCATGGACACGAGTTTTACGTAACCTACTCGACGAGTCGGAGAGCCCAACTCGGTGAGTAGGATTGTCTGGATGAAACCATAATATTTAAGGTTTACACCCTATTTAAACACCTTATCTTGTCCCAACCAAGCCTCCAGTGTCCCTCCCAATCCAAACCTAACTCGAAACCCTAATCATATATTGAGTGTTGTTGAGCTTTTTGGTGCTATTTGTGTGTATTTGAAGTTTATAAAGGAGAAGGAAGCTTCAGAGATCAAGAGGAAGCAAGAAGATCCAGATGTTTTGGAACATTTCCAACTCATTTGAGGTATAAAGCTGAAACCTTGACCACCTATCTCTTAGATCTCTAGTTAGGGTTCGTTTCTACCTTTTCTAAGCCTTAGAAGTGCCATATTCGGGATTTTGTGGTTATAAAGGAGTATGACTTCAAATCTGGAACCATTGAGGGTTGCTATGGCATAAAGATGCCAACTTTATTGCCATAAGAGCCCCATGCATCTTGTAGACTCCATTTTAGGGCCATTTGAGCCAAAAACCCCATGCATGAACATCAAGTTTGTAACTTTACGTGTATTATGGACCATAGGAGGCTAGATCTATGTTTTGGATGTGTTAAACCCGACTAAAACCAACTCTATGGACATGGACTTAGGGGTCTGGACGAGTCGTTCATGGGACTCGATAAGTTAGGGTATGGCTCCCCAACCTTTTTCTGCTTTGATCGAATTGGTTAAGTCTAGAAGAGGACTCAACAAAATAGATGTGAAACTGGACATGGAAATCCTATAACTCGGCGAGTTCAAGAACAGAACTTGGCAAGTCCAAGGCAATATCCCAACCATATGAAGATGAACTTGACGATTACAAGGATGAACTCGGCGAGTCATGGACTAAATACCTTAACTTGGATGAAGATGAACTCGATGAGTTCGAGGATGAGCTCGGCGAGTCAATTGTAGAAGGTCCCGACTTGGTTTAAAGGAGAACTCGGCGAGCTCTTGTAAGGGTCGACGAGTAGGGCCAAAGTCTTGGCATTTCGTGATTCCGGGACTCGACGAGTTGTGGGGCCAACCCGGCGAGTTGAGTCAACTGGATGTTGACTTTGACTTTGACCTGAGCTGACCAGGAAATGGCAATTAAGAAATATTATTGTGTGTAGGACCTGAGAGGGGTTGATTCCGGCAACAAAGACAATTCAGACACTTTATGACATTTAGGTGAGTTACCTTCCAGTAGAAGTAGGTTGAAGGCACCAATGTTGGCCCACTAGTAGTTAATTATAGTTGAGATGATTGTCTTTGTGATAATTGTATGGTTTGCTACTACCTGCTATGTTTATGTTCTAGCATGATACGTTATATGTGATAGTGGTAGTAGGAGGGGAATAGTCCCCAAGTTCGGTTGTTAGGGCCGAAGGGTAGGTCGGGCCCCCCCATATATACCTAACAATATGTTTATGCTATGCTTTTTTTGGTAGTAGTAGGGGTGAAATAGTCACTGGAGCCGGTTGGAATAAACCGGAGAGTAGGTCAGCACCCCATAACTGGTTGACATGGGTAGGTCAGTACCCTAAAACTGTTTGACATGGGTAGGTCGGGCACCCTAGAATCGCCTGTTAGGGTAAGTTAGCACCCCAGAACTACTTGATATGGGTAGGTCGGGCACCCCAGAATTTCCCGACAATATGTTTGTTGTATGGTATGTGGTAAGGTGGGGGAACTCACTAAGCTTTGTGCTTACGGTTTTCAGTTTTGGTTTCAGGTACCTCTTCGTCGAAAGGGAATGAGTCGGCATGGTAGCAGTGCATCGCACATACATGATTCCGCATTTTGAGATCCATGGGATTGTACTCTGACATTATTACTATTGATGATATCATTTTTGAGACTTGTGATTATTGTGTATTGATTGATATGATATCGATGATGTTTTTAAGTAAACTGTTTTATGAGTAACATAATTAAAAACAAAAATTTTGGTCTCGAAAATTGGAATGTTACAGAGTGTGTTCAAGCAACCTAATTCATGAAAACATACAGTAAAGTGGATAGAATTTCTGATTTTTTTTTTCTAACCTTTGATTTGAAGCAATCAAGCAACCTTCGAGAAGTCTAAATTCAATTTCAACTCAGTACCTTCGGATTTTGATGCAGAAGTGGGGAACAATTTCGATTTTAACTCACAAGTTGATGACCATGTTTGATTTTGCTACCAACACTTAACAGGGGGAGTAAGAAGAAACGAGAAGAGAAAAGAAAGAAGAAACGAGAAAAGAAGGAATGACGGCTGGAGAAAATTAGGTCAAATAAGATACCACGTGATTTCTAAAATAAATAAATAAATAAAAACAGAACGCCTCGTACGCTTCGACTCGGAACGCCCCGCCTCGAACCGCCTCACAAGATTGAGGTATACGCCTCATTCTCCCCCTAAGAAGCAACGCCTCAGAATCGATTTTCATCTGCCTCGCCTCAAGGCGTACGCCTCGAACGATTTTTAAAACCTTGCTTGGATTGTGGCAAAGCGAAGACGTGACCGTACACATCCTTGGTTTATGTTAATTGGATCTTAGGAGACTCTGATTTTAAATAATGTATTGGCAACAATGGTTTTGTAAACACTTCTTTTTAGCAAATAGGTTGTTTTGAAAACTTTAAATTTGTTGTGACTTTTGAGACGTTACAAGCTAGTATCAGAGCGTTGGTTTGAGCGAATCGGAGGAACATCCGTGTGAATCCAAACTCAAACTAAGAAATTGCTATAGTTTTAAAAATGATTTTCAAAATTGTTTTAAAAAATAATCAAGAAATGATGTGATGTATACGACCAGTCTTTCTCTAGAAAGTGAGAATAGGGTGTATGTGTATCCTAGTTGTATTTGTTTTGGGCGGTTGTGATGATCCTTGAGACAAATACGCGTCAGTGTGTAAGATAGTATGAGTCTGTATTACTAAAAGCATAGGACCCGTACGGATCGCAAGGAAGTCATGAACCCCTAGGGGTAGTCTCGTCACGTGGTTGTAGCAATGTTTATTGTGGCATTCTGATGCATTTTGGCTCAATTTAGTATGGAGCTCACGAGGGGATGTGATTCAGGATTTTCACATAGACCCCATAACGTTTGATTAATGTGAATTTATTAGAAAAAAAAAATGAAACAATAAAGAATATATAAAAAGGGATAACAATGTTTTCTTTATATATACTTCATGGTTGTTATCAATGGAATGAGCAGATAAGACCAAGTGGTACATTTTGAAATCTGGGAACCAAACGTGTAGTTTTTCTGCATTCTGATTGTTGTGGTGATCTTTGTTTTTGCAAACAAGCACCAAATGTATATTATTTTAATTTGTAAAAACATGAAATCTATATTATTACTTTTCTAGCATACTTGATGGTTAAGCCTACATATAAGAAAACAATGCCGTTTTAATTTTTTCGAATAGTTTCTATTTTTTCTGGGTTGTACAGCAAAAAAAACCCGAAGTTAACCTAGAAATTCATTTATTAATCCGTCTTATTCTCAAATGTATACTTTCACTGTGCTTTGATTAATCAGATCGACTATTTCACTCCCAAATCTATTATGCATCAACGTCAAAAGTCGCAATCATTTCCAAGGATTATGCATTAATTACTCAGGAATCAGCCGAACCTTCACTAGCAGCCCATCACAAAAGACACCTTTACAGAGAATTACACGATGAAACCCAAGTAATTTCCCTTAACTTTTTAACAAACGCCATGGCAGAACCTTCAAAATAACACCATTGTTCTCGATAAAAAGGATCAAAAACCTTCATACATCTTACACAAAAAGATTGACCCAGAAATGGGTTCTTACGTAGAGGATAATAGAACCTACAAAGCAAGAGAACTCTATGTACTTTCAGACAAAATCGAAGAACTTCATAAAACCAATGAAGAACTTAAGCAAGCTAAAGATGAAGCCATGCAATCTTGGTTAGATTCAAGGCCGATAATTGATGAGCTCGAGAGGCTACAATCTGAGCTAGCAAATGCCAAAGAAGAGTCGGAGAACAACACACTTGTTGCAAAGCTTGAATCCGAGTTGATGGCGATTAATATGAAAATTAGAGCAAAAAAAGAGGAAGAATTGAGATCGAGAACCGAGATTAACGAAATGACTAAAGTTTCCGAGAGTGTAAGGGGGGAAATGGAAAAAATTAAACTTGAAATAAACGAAGGCACACGAGAAAGATCGAAGATGAAAATGGTTATTAAGATGAAACGACAAACCCTTCGAACGCTTGGACTCACTTTGAGGGCGGTTCGTTTAGAAGTCGAGGCACACAGTGCTTCTTCTATAGCAGCACTGGAACAGATCGATCGTGGCAAAGTATCTGACAATACTGTCACGACTGATATGACACAAGAAGAGTATTTTGCTTTGGTGAGGCAAGCAAAAGAAGAGACGTCTTTGGCGGATTGGCGGGTGGTTGTGGCCACAGAACAAAGACTTGCAGCTGAAAAAAGCCGTGATTTGGCTTTAAAAAGATTGAACGACCCAACTCTTAGAGTCGGATCAATCAAAAAGGAAAAGGAAACAGAGATGTCTGGGAAAGGAGCTCTAAGCTCTAGAGCTCAGACTCCTTTCCCAAGAGGTCAGACCAAACTAATAACCCACAGAGAGATGAGAAGGGATCCGAGTCAGAGGCAAGTTATCAAGAAACGGTCAGTCTTTGTCAAAATAAAATCTTTTCTTGCTCGAAAGATTAAGTACCTATTTGGATGAACACTTGATATGTACATAGCAATAAGTTTCAAGCTTCCGATGACAAATATTTAATATTTTGTTAGGTGTCTATAGATTTGCAAACGAATGTAAGTGAAGCGTCGGATGTGAAGCTTATTTATGATCTTTTATTTAATAAAATAACAGAAATGAACAAAATATTTTGTTTATGTAGTTGCATGAATGAACACACTAGTTATATTTGTTTATGTGTGTGTTTGTTTCTTAATGACCGTTTAGGTTTTATATATTTGATTATTTGAATTAGTAGTAATTAATTAAGGTATAATTACTAGAATGAACTGCTTCAAGTAGCTTTTGAAAGCTTTAAAGTTTTACTTTAATTATTTTAAAATTTTACAGTTAGTTCATTTAGCTAAACACTTCTACACAAATAAAAGTTACAACTTCCCAGCTAGTTTTGTGAATTTCTCATGTGTATCTTTAAGAAAAACATTTTTCGATAATTTAAGATACTTGTGATAATAAATATCCTTACAATATACATCACATGTTTGTGACAAATATTCAAAATATCTCTGCTTATTCATACATACAGACATGACCAAGTTTTCGATCAAATCCACAACCTTTCTAATTCACAACATTGCATTTATTTCTAATTTGACCATTTTGCCCCGTAATCACACCAACAGTACTCAGCTTCACCATGGATGCACCAAAATCCTTAGCAAACAAATACGGAAACTTACTATAATTCAAAACCATACCCGAGGTTCTATTATCAGTCATAAGAGCTTGATCCGAACCCAAAATTCCCGAATTATTCACAAGGTTTTTTATAATAAACATTATCAAACTTAGTTGTTGTAACTGCGTCCAATGGGACCAGATTTGTGTTCGAATCATCTTGATTCGGACACACACTTTGCAAGCTACTTGCAAGTGACACGTCAAGTAGTGGATCGGGCCCACCCGACCCATCAAAGTTGAATAAGCGTTGCTTGAATGTGAAACATTGTGCAAATCCTATCGTGTGTGCACCTTAAAAAGGAAAAAGTAAGTCATCGGTTACAAACACAATTAAATAATTTCCGGGCCTTGTTTGTTACGCATGACATGATACTGTGTTAGACATGTACTGGACTAAGGCTTGTCTGGATGGTGGGCTAGACACACAAAAATTACAATTTTTTATCCCAAAAAATATGGGCTAGACCCACAAAAAGACAAAAAGATGGATGCATACCCACAAAAAGGTAGGACAGTTCCATTTTTTTTGTTCCACCAAAATAGGTGTGACCAAGAGTCACAAAAAGACAAAAATATAGACACATAACCACAAAAAGACAAAAAAAACTATGACAGTTCCATTTTTTTTTATCCATTAAAATAGGTACCAAGAGTCACAAAAAAGGTAGGATTGTGTGTAAAAAGGGAGACATGATAATCAAAATAGTCTTAAATTACGTGTCTATTTTTTTTACCTGAGAGTACAACCATGTCTTGTAGGTTAAGACCTTTGGTAGTAAATTTTGAGGTGATGTTATCTAGAGGCTCGAAAGGCGATGGAATATCTGTATTTGCTAAAGTTATATTAGCTGTTAGGCCATCACGACGCCCCATGGGTAAAGAATAGTAAGGCCCTCCCGACTACAAAAAAACACAAACTTATGTGAAAAAAAAAATTATATGATAAAGGGCACGTCAGATAATCTTATACTGTGTTTGACATTCATTAGACTGGATCCGTAACTGATGTCAATAGGACAAAATTTTAAATCTTTTTTTCGTCCCACCCTAAAAGGTGGGACATGGACTAGGACTAATGGAATTAGATCTTGATCTGTTGTTTGTGTAAAAGACGTAAATACCCCTGCAATATAAAACTATTAACTTACGAGGAAGACGGCTTCTCTAACCGTGAGTGTCAATATATCAGTACAAGAAACAGTTCCTGGACAAGCTTTTTCAACATTTGCTTTTATGCTCTCAATAAGCTCAAATCCTCTTGCTGAATTTCTATTAGGATTTGCGTCCTTTTCACTCTGGAAACTATTGGTTGCATCAAGTAACACCGAGCCTTCGCATCCCTAAACACAAAACACAAAAATAAAATATATAATTGGATTAAAAATATTTTGAGGAAAATTAAAAATTTGACTAGTTACATTAGAGATACAATCATGAAAATGCAAGCGAAGAAGCGATGCAGCGATCCTGGAGTCGTTATTCATGGCTGACCAGAGGTTGAACTTAACGATTTTTGTTAAGTTAGGACAAGTGGAATCATAGAATTTGTAATCAAGTTGACTGTTGACTAATGGTTGAAAAATTAAGGAAAACATGAGAATAAGTGAACATTTTAAGGCACAAGGTTGATTCATGTTTGTGAATTGTAATGGATATTGAATTTGTTACAAGTTTTATAGAAACATGGGTTTATATAGATGTTTTTTTGTCGAGTGGATGTGCCACTTAGAAAGAATTTGGAATTAGTCTACATCAAGGTCAAGTTGGTAAGTGGAGTTGGGGTTATTAATATATATGCAAGTGATTGTGGTCATTTGAAATTGAAAATTCAAGACACAAGGATTACACTAAGGTTGTATGTTTGGTACGATGGAATGGAATTATAAAGGAACGGAATGGAATAGATCATTACATTCCATTGTAGTATTTGGTTGGCTTGAAGGGATGGGATGAATCGTTTAAACATGTTGTTTGTTTGTGTATAATTAGAAAACTATTTTTTTTTTGGATAATACGATTCAATGTCTTTTTTTTTACACTCAAGGAAATGATGTTTCTGTTATTAGGCATGCCACTTCCGATTTGACATCTTTTTAATTGTAAATAAAGAAAAATAATGTTATTTTTAGAAATAAAGTTTAATCAGATAAATGTGGGTTATTGTTAGAGAAGTCCCATTATTTTGTTTTAGTTTATGGAAAAGTCTCAAAATTTTATTTTATTTTTTGAACAGAAAAGTTTCGATGATCTAATTTTGCATGATATGATGATAATCCATCATTTTCTGTTAAAAAAAAAATGAAATAAAAGACTTTTCAGTTAATTTGGACAAAATATTATATAATCGGGACTTACCTGGTCAAAAATAAAAGTTAGGAATTTTGCATAAACTAGGACAAATAATGAGACTTTTCTAAAAATAACCCAGATAAATATTTATCGCTTATTAAAATACATATATATTATATGTATTTTCGAAAAAGTTATTTATCAGTTAAAATTTTTTTACCTAAATATAAATAGTATAGATTTGATGGGAGCTTAATGATATATAATTACAATAAAAAGTTACTTTTAGTTTTTCTGGAAAACAAAAAATAGTTTAATTTAAATTTTGAGATTTTATAAAAACATCAGTATTATTGATGATTATATAAATAAAATTAAATTATAATTATAATATATACTTAATTCCATTCCCTCTGCAGAGCAAACATTACCTTAAGTGTTTATGGTGCAAGAATGTTTAATATATTGAGTTTTAGTGTAAAATGTCTAATCAGCATTTACTATAAGAGATTTTTTGGTATAATATATAATAATAGAGATAAGGCTACAGGAAAGAAGAAGAAGAAGAAGCAGATCTTAATGGCTGCTGAAGAGTTTCTAGATTTCTTTTCTTTCCTACATCAGCACCATTAAATAGTCAAACACTTTTAAGTCACTTAGCAAAGACTTTATAATATAATATAATATACACATTTTGTCTTAAGCTAATGCAGCTTAGAAGAGCTTTGAAATAATTCTTAATGATAGTGGTAAGTATCATGTGTTAGGCGGCTTATCACTATTGATAGTGCTAATTAATTAGTTTAAATATAAAATAGGGTTTTTTTACCGTAAAGTCCCATTATTTTAGGAAATTTTTTGATAAAGTCCTAAAAAAATTGAACAGAAAAATCCTGATTATTTAAATTTTTGAATAGAAAAGCCCAAGAAACCGGTTAATTTATTCACTTTAGCCCTTTTGGACCTATTCAGCAGGTCATGGTATCAAATCGTTAATTTTCCAAAAAATATAGGACTTTTCTGCAGATTTCTTCAAAATTTGTATATAATGTATAAGCATATTTTTTACGTGTATATATATATATATATATATATATATATATATATATATATATATATATATATATATATTTGTATGTATTTTAAATGTATAAACGTATTTTTTTTACGTATTTATGTATTTTTAAAGTTTTTTTTATATAGATATTTATGTATTTTTTACTTTAAGTTGTCTTCACCATTTTATCCAATTCCCACAGCTTCTTCGTGTATGTCTAGATGGTTTTCCTACGTACCCATATATTTTAAGTTTTTCCCATTTGCTTATCTTGAAATTAAACATCGAATTAAAAACCAAAAGAATAATTTATGCACATACGAAAACTTCACCAAGCTCATGTGGCCTCAAGGGAACCCTAAGTTTTCGTATGTGCATCTTTTTGTTTTTTAATTTGATGTTTAATTTCAAGATAAGCAAATGAGAAAAGCCTAAAATATGTGGGTATGCAGGAAAACCATCCAGACATACTCGATGAAGCTGTAGGAATTTGATGAAATGGTGAAGACGACTTAAAGTAAAAAATACATATATACGTAAAAATAATATGGTTATACATTTAAAATACATAAATATCTATATAAAAAAAAAAAACTTTAAAAATACATATAAATAATACATAAAAAAAATAACACTTAAAAATACATACAAATACGTTTTTACATTTAAAATCCATTAAAATATGTAAACATATGTATATAAAGCTCTAAAAATACATAAAGATACATATAAATACGTAAAAAAATACGTTTATACATTATATACAAATTTTGAAGAAATAATTTGGTCCCGTGCCCTGCGAACAGGTCAAAAAGGGATAAATTTAAATAATCCCGGACTTTCTGTTCAAAATTTTTTTTTTAGGACTTTATCAAAAAATTTCCTAAAATAATGGGACTTTACTGTAGAAAACCCATATAAAATATAGAGAATTGATGTA